CTCAGTGGGATATGTAAAACCAGTAGCTAACGTTGCTATCTTTATGGAAAAGGAGCGTTTTACCTATTTGCAACCAATATTTCCACATCAAGAATCTCTGAAAACTTTAGGCTCAGCTCTGGGTTTTCTGCTTCTTAATATGGTGAGTTAAATGACTTCCTGACACATGCACTTCCTTCTGGCACTGACAGATAGTGGAATTTGTTTTTTTCTCATTCAATCATTAAAATATTTTTCACTTTTCACTATGGCAAACTTAACTGGCAGCTTTGGCACCGCTCTTGGGCTATATGTGTGGCGATCAGCAAGTGAGAATGTTGCGTGAACACCCTACTGGTTTATGTGTAGCGCAAAGGTGTGATAATATATATTTGCTGGCCTTGGTGGGGGAAAGAAGCCATCTGGTATATGGACGTGTATAACAGAATACCAGAGTTGGAAGGGACCTCGGAGGTCTTATAGTCCAACCTTCTGCTCAAGCAGGAAACCGTATACCCATGATGGCGAACCTAGGGCACACATGCCAGAGGTGGCACGCAGAGGCCTCTCTGTGGGCATGCGCGCCATCGTCCACTGCCCTTCGCAGGCGCCGGGAGCACCAGAAAATGACCTGAAAAATGGCCAAAAAGAAGGGTGTTTTCCGGGCCATTTCTGGGGTAGTTTTCAGGCCATTTTTCAGGCTGTTTTCAAGGCCATTTTGGGGGTGAAAAATGCCCGGGAAAATGCCCTGCAAATAGCCTGAAAACAGCTCCAAAAACGCCCCCAAAACTGGCATGCATGCGCCAGCCAGCTGGTCTTTGCGTTTCCGATGCTGCATGCACACACATTCCAGTTTGGCCACTCGGTGCTGTAAAGGGTTTGCCATCACTGCCCCCCACCATTTCGGACAAGTGGTTCTCCAATCTCTCCTTAAAAACCTCCAGCGTTGGAACACCCACAATTTCTGGAGGCAAGGCATTCCACTGATTAATTATTGCAGGTTGGAATATAGCGTTAAAAGCCAAATTCTAGTGTATCTGGGTTCCCCCCCTCCCCTTCTTTCTAGCCCACCTTTGTTCTTTGTTTGGAGTAGACTGGTTCACTAGGGAAGTCTTGGACAAAATAAATTATCCCACACTCTGCTGCTTGTGGAGTTCCAGTAGATGCATTAAAGCTTTCCATATGGTTTCATTTACTCTGTGGAAGGACAGTAGGGTGGGAGGGGGGGGGGAATGGTGGGAGGTGGGAGAGCAGAGGAAATAACCTGATCACTTTTCTAGCAAATATTCATATCTGCCTTGGGAAGCCCATTTCACACATCTGGAATGCTGTGGCTTTATAGATCAAAAGTATATCAAACAGGCTGAGTTTGCACAGTATTCAAAGCTGTGGTTTCTTTAACTACAGTTGGCTGAACAATCCTTGGGGCCTACTTCTCATATAACATTAAACAACAGCAATGGGATGGATCCATGCAACGCATTAAGTCAAAATCAAACACATTATGTGTTTGGCACAAAAGAACGAACATGATCCGGAGAACCCCCCTCCTCACACAGCATTGATCCTGCGTCACAAAAATCACACAAATTATCCTTCTTGGACCAAAGAGCCAGGTTTCCCCCCCCCCCCCCAGCTGCAGCAGAGCTCAAATGACAAAATTTTTATTTTTAAGTTTTGACACTGGAATTCCAGAGCAAATATATATGCAGGGTGAACTTGGAACCCGCTCTAATAGATTTCACAGGCAGCCCTATCAGCAAACCCAATATAATCTTTCCAGTCAGTTTTATAGCTCCTGTAAAAAATTGCTAGCTCGATTTTCCTGCTTGTATAAACAGTGGGCAGCGAACCCTTCCTTCACCTTGACTTACCTCCCAAGCTTTGGCCTCAAGTGAGTCATTCTTCGCTTCCCCTCAAACATGTGAATGTTCTACAATGCGATTCGGATTGGAGCTCTTGGGAAAATTTCTGGCCCCCCCAAACGGATCGCATTGTGCCGTCATCACAAATGTTGTATTCGGGAGGAATGACATCTTGTCAAGCAATGAGGTTTCCTCAGATTTTAACCACTCAGATGTTTTTGCAAAGTGGCCAGACACAACCAGGGCGTGTTGACAAATCGGGATGGGAGTTAGTGTCTCAGTTTTTTTTACCTCTTTTGTAATTCTAGAAGCTTCTGTAGCTCATGTAGAAGGCAATATCTGGATGGTAATTTTTGCATTTGCCTGTTGTTGTTGGTGGAGGTGCTTGTTCTCAGTCATCCAAGTTGAGCAGGAATGGAGATGATTACGTTCCTGGCTTCAAAATGGTTTTGGAAGACTGGGGAAGTAGAAATAGCATTATGTGAAAATGTCTTATATCTGGTTGTATTAAACTATAATTGAGAAAAACAAGCTTCCTGTTGCAGGTGTTTTAGCAGGACAGATTACAAGCCTGGAGATAGGGACTAGACCACCGTCTGGAGATAAAGACTGGATCTTTAGGCGATGTTAAGTCTGTGCATAAAAGAGAAGAGTAAGGAGAAACAAGGGCTTTGGAGAACAGTTGTGGTATGGCTTGGATGCAGTGGTGGGATCCTGCCAGTTTAACAACCAGTTCGAGTTTTGCTCTGCCCACGTGCACAGTTTTTGCAAAACTTACCTTCCATGTTACTTCTGCGGAGTAACAGAGTTGAGGCATGGCAACCAGCTCTGCTGTGTAAATCAACCAAGAGAATATAGGTAAGTAAAGCGCAGAGGTGGGAGGTCCGACCTGATTGTTGGAGCAAACTGGTTCGCCCAAACTGGTGCGAACCGGCTGAATCCCACCCCTGCTAGGATGGGCTACATTCAAACCTCACCTCTGCCATAAATTGGATGTAACAGTGGATGTAAGCAGTCACAACCTTATTCTTCTGCTCTCGCTCCCATGATCAATAGAGATTCCATTGATGGTTTTTCTTACTTCTTACTTACTTACATTGCTTTGTAAGTAAGGAGAAGTGCTTTTGGCTCTCAAAAAAATACAACATGCGATTATTATATTATTATTTTTCTTCTGTGAATCACCCCACTTTATAAGTGGAGAGCTAACATAGAACTATGAAGCTATCTGGATTGTCTTGGAGTAGCCGGTCTCTTAACTCAGTCTATCGGACATGCCCTTGGCCTAAGTCCTTCAGAAGAATGTGAGGATAACAACATCATGTATGTAATAATGAAAACAGGACAACCCCATGGCTGAGCAATGAAGATATGTCATTTTATTCATCGGTATGCCTTATGGGATTGAGTCAGGAAAGGTTAAATGCACGAGACATTCAAGAGCTGATGCATTCCTTTGAAAATTATTACCTTATTGCCAGCTTTTAAATTTGGAAATTATGAATCATTTTCCTAAAAATAATACCAGCAGTTAAGTGTTTGCTTTTGTTGGCATTTACTGTGTGAACAGGCTGGACGGCTGTCCAGTAGAAGGCCTGTAGTTGCATTCTAAATTACACAAGCTTTGCTGACTAGGACTTGACCCCTTGGGACTTGTTAGATAAGCTCCCGGTTGGGAGAGCGAGTGCGTTCAGAGAAGCGTTGTGAGAGTTGTGTTGGAGAACAAACCAGCATACAGAGACACTGCAGTTTAAATAGGCTTTTACTTTCGTGGAAATAGAGGTATCAGAG